CATGGCTGCTCTATACATCCCTAGATGCAAGATGCCACAGATCCTGCTGGCTGAGCCAATATACCTCCTCTTTTCTCAAGATGAGCTGGGTAGGCAGCATCTGCCAGGTTAGCTGAGGGCCCAATGCTAGCCAGAAACACCTGCAGGGTGGATGGGAACCTACCCACTGCTCTGGCACCTTGGTTCAACCCTGATTTAGAAAAACGGCTTCTGGAGCATATGCATTGGCCAGGGGAAAAAGAAAGTGTCTACACCTAGTATCTTGGAAGCCTCCTCTGCCATGTGTGCAGTATTACTCTCTCTTTTTCCCAGAAAAGGTTCAAGCCACAGAAGCTACTATTATTGTATTTCCTTGCTTAAAACACACACTCCAATGTCAAGCAACTGATTTTTTGAATAAAAAGGCTGTGTTGTAGGTAAGAAAATATGGTAATTCTACCACTTCCAGGCATACATGGAGATCACTAAACAAATGGAAGACAGACAGCAGGGTCCTTCCCCATCCATTACAGCAATGAAAAAGTTTGTGCATGAGGAACAAAATAAGAAGAAACACTCTGATTCCAGAGTTGAAGTAGACTAGATGATAGAGGAGATGATGGACGAGATTATGAAAATGAAGAAACATCCCCCCTTTCCAGTCAGTAGCCTAGATTCAGAAGCAGAAAAAAGAGATTGTTTTAAATATGAAACAAGCCATTCACAGAATGACACTGTGACACCACACTAAATGTCTTGGTGGTGGAGATGTATCAATATGTAAAATCAGCATCACAGTATTTGTACTCTAACTACAGAATTAGTAATTAATTTACAATTATTTTGTACTTTAATTTCTTGTTCCACTAACTGACAAAGTAGAGTTCCAGCTTATGAAAACTGAGTAACACTGTGTTAGATAGCTTTGGTAAATCTGATTCTCTGATTGGTATTTTGCCATTATTCTGTCTCTCAATGTTTTGAAAAGTTTAATGAAATCCAGTAGTTGGAAGCTTAAACTAAATAAATTTAGACTAGAAATGAAACTCAATGATTTTAACAGGCAAAGTAATTAAGCATTGGAATGACATGCTTGGAGACATAGTGGATAATTCATCTTTGAAATCTTTACATTGAGACTTAATATCTTTCTAAAAACATATAGCTAAAATAGAAGTTATTGGCTCAATGCAGAGATTACTGGGAGAGGTCTAAGGGTCTGTTTTATGAAGTAGATTGGAAGATCATAAAGGTCTCTTCTGTCCTTAAAAACTATGATATGGTTTTTATCACTGTTCAAAGACAATGAAAGCTTAAAAAGAAAACAACTTTAATTTCCCACTGTCACATCACAAAGGCTAGTCTATGCATTATTACTGCAATAGTTTATTTAAACTCCAACATATATTTCACTATATGTTGTCTATTTAAATGTTTCCACTTTATTATTTTGAAAATACTCACTCTTGTTTAGTCAGCTTTGATTTCATAAACATTGTGATGCTTTGGTCGGAAAAAATGCAGGGCTACCTTTGCTTGTTTAAATTAAGTGCAATTTCCACTATATGCTGGTAACTTCGTAGTTATTCTGTAGACTGGGACCAGCACAAAGACATCCACAGGAAGCATTAGAAGATAACCTTCTCAGCTACATCTCAGTAGTTTTATAATTCAACCTGGAGCCATCTATATCTTCTAAACCTTAGATGTTCCTGATATCTAAATGACATGGCTACAATAGACAGATCAACACAAAATGGCTCTAAGCATTCTTCTCTGATAGAAACAAGAAAGCATTAGAGAAAAGAAACAATTAATGACTGTCTGTTTTTTTCCACCCTACAAAACTCTCACCTGCACAGCTCTGCAAAAATAATGTGCGTTTTCTCATCTCTTCCACACATGAAACTATTTTGTTTGGGACTCATATATATAGAGACTTACTGCAATTTTGCAGGTTTCATGAAATTTGGTATTGCCCATGAAAGTGGGCGTGCGAAATCCACAGGAAGGAAAGAAAAAAAAAACTTATGGAAAATAAAATGCTGGCTCCTCATAGGGAGCCAGCAGTCCTCAGGGTGCTGCAGTAGCCTGCTGGGGCAGAGAAGGGGGGTGGGAGAGGGGGAGGTTGCCTGCTCAAAGGGCTACCAGCAAGATGTCTGCGAGGGCTGCCTGTCATGTGTCCTCACCCCCCTCCACCAATTGGTGGTGAGGGATGGGGCTGCACGATGGACCAGTAAGGGGTGGGGCTATGTGACATGCAGCCCTCACAACAAATCAGTGGCCAGAGGTGGGGTTCCTTGACCAATCAGAGGTGTGGGAGGCCTGCTGCACTCCACCATGGGCTGGGCTCCATGTTCTGCCTATGAAATTGGTGGGCAGCTGCCATGAACTAGGTAGGCTCCTACTCCTCCCTGGGTTGTGTATATACCCAACATATAATTCACACTCAAGCTTTTCAACAGATGCACCTATTTTATCATCTAAAGTATGTTAAAATAACAACAAGATATCAATTTCTGGATAAAACCAGAGAAACCAAAACAGATGATACTTCAAGAAACCACCCTTGCTTCCTTCCTCTGGTGGTGTCTCTCTAAATTCACCAAAGTAGTGTGAAGCTTTCAGGTTCTGGTTGACCTTCTTTATGATTATAAACAAATTTCAAATCAACCTACTAGAAAAACAAAACACAAAGAAACCAAGGAGTGAAGGAGGGAAAGCATAATAAGATAAAAGGAAGATCATGAGAAACATAATTGCTAGTAAGTCATTTTCCCCTTTCATATATCCTCCTCTTTACTTAAGCTTTGTAAAATTCATTTTGACAAACTGTGGATGTTGCAAGCTTAACGCAAGAAGCAGTCTTACAGTTTTTTAATTCATCAGTCTACTGCTGAAGTCCAATGTCAAATGCAGTAAAAAAATACATGGCCATCTAGTAGCCTTCTAAATTGCCATAACCAATGTCACTCTGCTCAGTAGGCAGACTTGTCTGGTGAAATGACTCAGCATAACTAAGGAAGCCAGCAAGCTTTCTGTTTATATAGAAATTCGGTCAATGAGTCACAGTGTAGCTATTAATTCTATAGGAACTTTTTTTTTTACCAGATTTTCATAACAGTAAAATGGGGAGGTTTTCCACAGTAACTACGTTGAATTATTTTCATATAGGTAAATAAAAAATAAAGCACTAAGTAGGGTTCAGTTTAAAGTTCTATTTATAGTTGAAATTTGGCATGTTTTACAGAGTAGTTCTTCATGCAAAATTTGCCTCTTTTATTTGGCTGTGCGTGTGTGTTCTGTCTTCTTTTTTCATTTTAAAAATAAGATTTCTTTCTGTTATGTGTTCAGATAAATGTAAGATAAGATAATGTCTGCTAGGTGAAAATATGACAAGTGGCACTTTCCTCATGAATATAATGGGACAGACCAATGGATTACAAACCAGATTGAAAATACAGGTTATCTAAGGCAAAACAAAGAACCCCAGTGAGTATATTGTGATATCACAGTTAAGGCAAATAATGAAACAGCAATTTCTTTAAAAGACCCCTCTCTGATAAGAAAAGTTATGCTGAGGAAGAAGACAAATACTTCCTATCTGGGAACAGTAAACAATATCCAAAGTAGAAAATTGGAACTCTTATTTCAACAATAAATCATGGATATATTTTTCCAGAATCTTTTTACTGACGCTGATAGGGTTTAAATCCTAAAACATTCAGGAAGAAACACTACTGCATAAACTTTTGTAACTTCTTCAGCTGAACCTGTCAGTGGGTTAGTGGCACAATGCCTATAAAATTACAGAGATGTACCATTTTAGGATGAATCCTTAGACATTTCCTAAATCAGGGGCTAGTCTTTAGTCAATTTAGTGGACAGGGGAGGATCACCATGCTGCCTCTGAAGTTTGAAATGTGCCAACATGACATCCTAAAATAAAAGGCAGTCTCAGCAAGGGAAGAATAAAATGAGTTGGCAGTTAAAATATTCCTCTTGCCAGTTTCTCAGAAACAAGTTGATTGTATGAAAGAGCTCTGTGAAAGATGGATCATTTTTAGAAACCGAAAGGCAATCTCTTACCTTTCTTAAAAAAGAGTGCAGTGACTTAAAATCTGGAACCTGCATCTGTATTCTTGCCTATGAGCCAATGGTGGTACCTACAACTGATATTGACATTAAATTAATAGAGTTATAGGGTCATAGATTCATAGATATTAGGGTCAGATGGGATCTCAGCAGATCATCAAGTACAAGTCCTAGGCACGAAAGAGCGCTGGGGCCAGATGACCCCAGTCAGGTGCTTGTCCAATTTCCTTTTAAAGACCCCCAAGGTAGGGGAGAGCACCACCTCTCTTGGAAGCCCATTCCAGGTTCTAGCAACCCTCACCATGAAGTTCTTCCTGATGTCTAATCTGAATCTGCTTTCTGTCTGTTTGTGGCCATTATTTCTAGTTACTCCAAGGAATGTCCTGGTAAAAAAAAGCATCTCCTATCCCTTGCTGTCCCCCCCTGATAAATTTGTAGACGACCATTAAATGGTACCATAAGGCTACCACATCACAGAGAAAGGATGACAAATGGATAGAATCCACTGGTATGCATCTTACAATGTCTTGAACTAGCCCATTTGTAGCTTCTATAGTTTCAACAAATCCTTTAGCACAACAGAAGGAACTCAAACTGCAGACTCTTATAAGGGCCAAAACAGATGGGAAAACAGGAGAGGAAATGGCTATAATCAACCAGTGGCAACAGAAGCAGGAGTTGGAGGTCATATGTGATGTAGCACTGTTTAGAATATTCAGTAAATAGTTTCTTGCATGCTAAGGATTATGCTACAGGCAGGGTATCCACGTGCTGAGACATGCAATTAAGGGAAGGCAACATAGTTGAAGGCTTCCTTCCTTCATATGGTGCAGAAACTAGTAGTTAGCTGTATTCTGAGCTACTCACCACAACCTTTCCTTTCTTTCTTTTTATATTTCCCTCATCTTTATATCTTCTTTTTGCAGAGACCCACGTCTGAAGGGCAGATAAGGAAATACTACAGGAAGAACAACTGTACTTCCATGAGGCAAAATAGTGACTCCGTAAAAATGAAAAAGTAAAAATTACTTTTTATATAATAGTCATCATTTTTATAATCAAAGATTGCAAATGTTAACGCTTAATAGACAACGCACTGCAAAAGTTGAAAATTATCATAGCCTTCAAAAATTCGTTTGAGTTTTAAAATATTCTGTATAATTGGTTATAGTATTAATACAGGTAAGGGAATAGTTTATTTTTTAAAAGTTTAAGGTACATATTTTTATTGATTGCTTCAAAAATCTTGAGAGTTTTTAAAGCGCATTTTTCTCTCTAAGCTTTTCATGACACAGTTTAATTTGGATTTTCAATCCTTAATTTGCTTGAGGAAGAAAAATGTCTTATAATTCTGCTTCTGCTTTGTAAATATCAAGAATGATACTTTCTCATTCATGTTTAACATTGTAGTGGTTTAGATCCAATTATAGCAGTATAGGTAAAGAAAAAGGAAAGTTACATTGGTTAAGTTGACACATGTTCCCATGTGATAGGACTTCTCTTCCCCTGATTAAAACAATAATCTCTCCCACAAATGTCCTGTAGAACCCACTCCCACCTGAAGGGCTTCTGAGCTACCAGCAATGAAAGAGCCACGAAAATAAAATGTAATGTAGTGCCTGGAGAGGACCACAAGAGTCCCTTGTTCAACCCCTGCATGGAAGCTGGATAACATAAAATGACATAAATTTAAAATTAAAAACCTGGCTCAGGGAGTTCCTAAGGTATCTGTAGTAAAAAAAGAAATGCACTAAAATGTACAAAGACAATGGCTTCAGTGCTTTGGTAGTTTGTGTACCTGGCCAACTACTGTTGCTGACAGGAACCAAACCAAAATTATTTGATTTTAATAAAGGAGGCCTGTTTTGTGCTAGATAGCATACTATCTGTATAGCAGTCTTGTTCTTAAACTAACACAAACATTGTTTTTTGACCAATAAACACAGTATACGTTTGGATAGACAATTCTTAATAACGAGCTAAAGAAAAGTCATAAATGAAAGTATGCTATGTACAGGAATTTAACTAATTGATTCCCTGGTGTTGAAATAATAGTGGTTCCTGACAAAAGTACTATGCATACAGGACAAACACCGAAGCATAAAACCCTAGGGAAAAAAGGGCATTTTCCTCATGATGCACAAGAAAGAGTTGCATATAGACACAAAGTGCTGATCCTAAAATCAGTGTATAGCCCACATTGGATAGACAGCATCCTGGGTATGTCTGTGGAGACTGAGAAGGTGGTGATCTGTGGCACTTGTTATTTTAAAATGAGGTGTCCAGAGATTAAAGTAGTATCCGTATAATAACATTATAAAATATTTTTCAAAATTCTTAACCTACCATTTTATACATTCTATTATTGTTTGCTTTTTTGACTTCTATTGCATACTGAACAAAGGTTTTCATTGAGCTGTCTGTATGAGCAATAATAAGCAAATCGTTTTTCTTCTATGAGGTTACAGTTAATTTTGAAGCCATCAACGTGTATGAGTAGTTTAAATTATTCCCTTCCAATGTGCATTACTTTACATTTATCAATACTGAATTTCATCTACTGTCACAGCACCCAATTACTCCTTCTGCACTGCTTCATAGTTTTCTCTAATCTTGACTAGCCTAAGTAATTTTTGTGTCATCTGTAAATTTTGCCACCTTATTGTTCAGCCCTTTGTCTGTATCATTAATAAATATACTAAATAATGCTGTCCAATGTACAGGTCATTGGTGCACGTGAATGTTAACCTTTTGGCCATATTGAAAATTGACCATTTATTCCTACTCTGCCTTCTCTTAGCCAGTTTGTGATTCATGACAGAATCTTAACTCTCATCCAGGACTACTTAGTTTCCTTAACCTTTGTGAAGGACTCTTTCAAAAGCTTTCTGAATATCTTGTGAATTGTGTGTGCTGGTTTTATTTTATATAGTATTTTGTTGACATATGCAAATAATACTTCTTGACTGGAAAGTGTGATTTTTCTCTACTTAAGCTGAATTCTACTTCTCCTTCTGCAGTTGTATCTTTTGAAAAATGTTGGGGGAAGCTATATACAGAGAGGTCATCTGCATGAATGACAACCCAGACCCATAGATATTTAAAGAATCTCCCAGCTCACCGCTTGGTCTCCCGGAAATCTTTGTGGGCATGTGTACAAGCCTTCGTAGGACACAACAGTGCAGCAGCTTGGACGAAAGCATGGAATGAAATCACCATTTGTAATAAACATCTACTTTCCAACCCAAGAATAAAGCCTCCTGCTTTTGACCTTCCATGAAAAATATGGAAGGCTCTAAATTGGACCTGAATGAGGCACAGCTGCTGCAGTCACTTGATACACAAATGGTGTATTAGGAGCTCTGCAAAATGTGACTGTGGCAATCCTGATCAAACTATGGACTACATAACAACACTCTGCCCTCTATATAAATTTGACAGTGGCATTGCAAAGATGCATTCTCTTTCCTTAAGAGCATTATACTGGTTAAATAACCTTAAACTGGATTTATAATTGTTGCTCCAAGTCAGCCATACAAAAGAAGCAGCAGCCCCAGGTGTGCACTGAAAAGGGCCCTGAGGCTGAGAGTGGCAGACAGTTGATCGGTGCCCTTGACTGATGAGATCCCAAGACTGGAAGCACTGATCAGTTGACTGACTTGCTAGTTGCCAGTGCAGGGGGAGCCCAAAATCCTGATCCGAGGTTACCCTGCATTGGCAATAGAGTGCAATTGGGATTGGAGCCCAATTCCACAACTGTACCTCCTGCATGCATTTGTAACATAGCAGAAAGCATGCTTGTTGCAACTGCACATCAGATTTCATCACCCTTTTGATTGAACATCTGCCAGGGCTGAGTTTGGAATCATGAACTTATCAGAAGTGGAATCAAACTCGGCTTACTGAATGATAGATCCATAAAGTGGGGACATGGTACAAAGTGCTTTGAAAGTGAAAAGGAATGGCTTACATTTGATGCAATAGAAAGGGATAATCAGTGGAGGGATCCATAAAGAGATGTAGCACTGTTGAAAGGACAGGCTAGGGAAATGATCTGCCTAGATATTTGTGGGGAAGGTTACATGTGTTATGATCGGTGAAAAAGTATGTTGAAATAACGGAGGTGCAAAATAAGAAGAGATTTTTCACTAGGTGGATAAAGAGAAAAGCCCGCTTCTGAGTAGTGTTGTCCAGATGGAGATACTAGAGAACCGTCTGAGTTTAAGATAAGCCTATATTCTAGTCTGATAGTGCGTGAAAGAAGGCAAGCAGATTTATGAGAAGGAAATATTAACTGTGTTGGACTTGAGTTGATGGTCAGATACCTAAAACAATATCAGAAAAATAGGCCAAGGTTACAGTTTGGACAAAAGACTGATCTGGAATTGAAGATTAGATTAGTGAATCATCCCCATAGCAGTCAAATTTACATTTGAGGATGAGATTATTTACAGATACACTGAAAAGAGAGAAGAGGATTAAGCACAGAGCCCTATGAGTATCCCTCAGAACCAGAGGAGGGGACCTGAGGAGAATCTGACAAAGGGAATGTGACAATTAGAAAGATAAGAGGAAAAATGGGAAGATCTAGTGTAATATTACAGGAGGAAATCTTCACTGACTGTAAAACACACTGTGACGCTCAATGTGTTTAGAAATGAAGGAGACAAGGGAAATAGGGAGATTGATGGAAAAGAGAGCTGAGCAGAAAAAGAATCTCAGCTTTTAATTTTATCAATGTTGTTGATTTCTTATGAAGTCAAGATTATTAAAAACAATTTTTACTATCAGTTATTTTTTCATCGAACACAAGATTTTCATGTTCTAAAAAGGAAAAAAAAATATTTTGTATAAAAGTATACAAGAATTGACAGCACCCACTGTAAATGATAAGGTGTCTACAACCCAAACAGCTGGGTGATGAGAGGAGCAAGAACATGTCTCACCCCTTAGAAACTGCCTTAGATATCTAGTGAGAAGGAGGAGCCTTCAGTGGTGTTTTACGTAAGGATCATATATGGAAGAGGGCAGAGTTTGGAGCTTATTCAGTATGAGGGAGTTGAGCGTTATCCAGACCAAACCAAAAGAAGTAGATGCTAGTGGGCCCTGGAGCCAGGAAGGCAAGTTATGATTTTCTTCCATGTCAAGAAAGATTTGTTTGTTTATCTGGTGTCTATACAAAATGCCATTTGAATTCCACAGACAATTACTGCAATCTGATTTTTGGGTCATGGAATCAGCAGAATAGATTATGTGATCTGACAATGTATTCTCAATATATAGCTTTTGTTCAAATTCATACTTAAATACCTTTCAAACAATTTCTTTGGGGTGTCCAGGCAGTGGGTAAGTTGATAGGAAAGGGAACAGGAATTCTACTCCTCCTATGACTCAGGAAAACATGTGTAATTCAGCCTGAGATTGATGCCTGTTCAGCAGTTACATCTGTCTGTTGTTTCACTATGACATAAGGACTTTAAGTATCCATATCCCTTTTGAGCATCATTTGCTTCATTTGTTTGAAGTTTGCAGCAATTCTAGTCCAGTTCAGAGGAACTGAATATCCACGGGACAAGATGGAGGCCATTCAGGTGTGCAATCATTCTGTCAAGATATTTATCATTCTATTTCTCATGTGTGGTTTTTGGATGGCTTTTGCAAATATTAAGAATACATTAATAACAGTAAAAAATGATGCCAAAGAACAACCTGGACATTTAGAAAGCGTATAAGACAAGACCTAAATGAATGGGATGCTACCATTAAGCTCAATATATATTTTGCACTGATTCAATGACTGAAACAGAAACATTTTAAAATTAAGAGATAGAATGGACTCATGTAGAAAGGCAGGGCAAATTTCAAGACATTTCATCTGTGGCTAAAAATGTGAATCAATTAGGTTTTGCAAGATTGTTCAAAACTCAGAAAACGAGACTCAATAAAAATACATACCTTCCCTCAATGTACATTTAAACAGTTTCACTGTTTTTTCTTACAGATAGGGAGTTGGGGCAAAATCTAAACTAGTCCTTAAGTTTCTTATGCCGGCCTTGTACAAACATTCAGTTTCTCCTGGGAGAGTGACTGTTCCAGCAGGGAACAGAACATACCCTTTTCATAATCCCCACATTGTGCTGGGAAGTCTGGGTCAGTCTAATCATGGCTGCCCTATGCACTGCTGCCATCTGTTGCCTGGCAGACTAAAGAAGCCTGCAAGCACACCGAGATGTATGCACAGGACTCCCCCCACTCCTTGCTGCAGAGTGTCAGCACTGCAAGCTTTCCAATCTTCAGGGCCTCAGTACTTGAATGTCTGTACCCACAGCTCTGGGCAGGATTTTCTACCAGGAGAATAAACTTTGGGAGAATTCTTCCAAGTTATCTGAACGTGTGTATTCAGCCATTGAGGCAGCACAATCCCTAAATGTTAGAGAGAAGAATGATTTAAAGAAACAGGGCTATATGCTTAGGCTTTATTCAGTCAATTAGAAGGGTGAATGAAAGAAACAGGGTTAGGTACCTTCAAAGGATGATACACAGTTAAGTGCCTGCTTCTGAAAGGGCAATTCAAAGAGCATACAGATGCCAGAAGATACATGGAGCAAGTCTATAGGAAATGCCAATTCCTACCTTTTGTGTAACAGCCTCATAAGTTAGAGTACTCATTTAGGAAGTGGGAAACGTAAGTTCTAGACCACCTGCTCCCCACGAACCTGAGGAGTTTCCAAGCCACACTGCTAGTCTCCTAGGAGAGTGCCCGAATCAAAGTATGGAACTGTCAAGGTGGCAGCACTATCCTTCCTTCCTGTCCTTCAAAATGGGTGGATGTTCTTGTGAGGAGAACTGCTATTCAAGAGAGGGGATCCATCTGATCAGAATGGGGAAGAGCATCTTTGGGCATCGTCTGGCCAACCTAGTAAGGACAGCTTTAAACTAAGTTTCATGGAGGATGGTGATCAAAACCCACCAGCAACAGAAAAGCCAGTCCAAAGGGGAAAGGACTCGAAGAAGCAGCTCATCTCTGAGAAAGGCCCAGAGAGCTCCAGGACAGCAAGAAGTGGCACTAAAAGGAAGCAAGGAGGTCAAAAGGCAAAATGTATCTGATGCACATTTACAAATATGAGAAGCAAGAGAAATAAACAAGATGAACTGGAAGCTGAAGCCTGTGAAAAGAACTGTGATCTGGCTGGCATCACCAATATTTGGTGGGACAGCTCTTAAGATTGGAATGTAAATTTTGAAGGTTATACTCTGTTTCAGAAGGACAGGATTGGGAGAAAAGTTGGTGGTGTTGCCTTGTATGTCAAAAACATACATACTTGTTCCCTGGTTCAGGAGGAAGAAGATGGCAAAGCAGAATGCATTTGGGTGTAGATGGAAGGTGAAGGATATGGCACTGATGTAATGGTGGGGGTTTATTACAGGGCACCTAATCAGGAAGAGGAGGTGGATGAAGCATTCTTCAAGCAGGTGACAAATCTATGCAAAAGCTATGGGATGGTACTGATGGGAGACTTCAGTTTTCCAGCCATCTGCTGGAAGAACAACTCAGCCAAACTTAAAATGTCAAGCTGGTTCCTAACTTGTATGGAGGGCAACTTTCTCTTCGAGGAAGTGGAGGATATAACTAGGGAATCATCCATCTTGGATCTTGTCCTGACCAACAGGGAAGAATTGAAGATGTGAAGGTGATGGGTAAATTGGGAGAAAGCAATCACAATATGATATACAAAAAACTAGAACTCTTGGTTCCAAAATGATACCTTTTATTAGACCAACTGGAAAATGGCAAGAAAACTGTCCTTTTCTGCAAGCTTTCGGGATCAAAGTCCCTTTGTCAAGCTCTGGGAAAAGTGTAGATGGTACAAGATGGTAAAAAGTCCCCATAGGTAGGAAATAACTTCATTTTTGCACAGAGGGAGCTGAAGATGGAAGTCTGTCCCTCTGGGTTCATGAGAGTGTCTTTGTGAGCTGTGTTGAGTAGCTCTTTGATGTGTTGATCAGGTAGAATTCCTTCCCTGAAGGTGTCATATGGGAGGCAGGGAGGTAAAAAATCTTCCTTGTTGTTCTGCAATGAAATTTAAAATC